GTGGTGGTGGTGATTGGGGTGATGTGAAGCAAATCAAAAGTGCGGCAGAACGTAGAATGGCCCATCAAATGGTGAATAGTGTGCTTTTATACGAAAGCTGGCGGTGATGGTGATCAGCAGCATCGATCCTCCTCCTCCTCCTCCGTCTCTGCTGTATGGGCAATCCTCGCCCTTGTTGCTCTACTTCTTGTGCATCACCATCACCAGCATCAGCTCTTGTGCATCAAGGTCAGCCACAGACACACAAACACACTGCCAGTGCACTCATCGCCGTCTTCGAGTTGTCTGCCAATTAGCCTGCCCAGTTTAAGATTGCTGGAGTAGCTGTGAGTCTGTGTCGGGCATTGTTATGGACGCACGCCTCGGCATCCCTCGCTTTCTTTCAGTGTCTTTCTGTTTTCGTTCGTTTCTTCAGCTTTTCTTTTTTCTTTTTCTTTCTTTTTCTTGTTCTCTGCGTCCGAGGAAAGCCATCGCCACCGAAGACTCACCGAGAGGACTTTTCCCTGCACTTTCACTTTTACTTTTACTTTCAGTGCTGCTGCGCCGTGTTGCCGTAGGCCGATAAAGAGTCGATCAGTCCAGCGCAGTGCACCACTCACTCACTCGCCATTCACTCACATAGCTTACTTGGGTTTGGTCAGTAGTGTCTGTTGATGCGGCTGACCTCTGAGCAGGTCAGCGCTGTGCACCACCACCACCACCACCTGTCTCCACATTTGGAGTAAAGTTTAGTCGTACGCGCCCAGTGTATGTGTGAGCTTCCATGGGCAATAATGGCTCAGGAGCACTGTCGATACTCCTCGATGTCTGTCGACTTGATCGCATTGCCAGCAGCAGCAGCATCAATGGCGATTATTGCCATATTTCAATGTCTCAGAAGGTGAGACTGCTAAAGTAGCCAGCCTGATCACTTTCACTCATTTTTTTCTGCCCATTTGCCACGTTGTCTCAAATGTTAGACAATGACACATCCTTCTTCTTGAACGCTGATGTGGCGGAGGATTAGCCCCAATTGAATGGAGATTACGTGGAGACTTTGCTGAAACGGCAGTGTTTCTATCTGTCAGTTTGTATCTGTCAAGTGATAAAGTCTAAAGTCTGCGCACCGCAGGATACCTTAAAGTGGAAGTTTTTTGTTTTTTTGTTGAAGCTGAAGTCGACTTCTGCTTCTTTTTTTTGACACCAAGTTGGCAAATTTTCTTGAGTGGAACAAACTTAAAATAAAAATTTTGCACTTTGCGAAAAGAGAGAATGTAAATCATTTCAGAACTCGTTTTTTCTGTCTCGAAGTTTCCAACTGCTGCTGACCGCAGTTGATCATTCTTTTTTNGGCGGGACACCGCGCACTTTTTTACTGCTTTTTCGGATTTTTATTTTTGGGTGGCTAGGATGTTTATGAAAATTGTACTCAATACATATTGTTAAGAATTTCATGTAGGACAGTTTTGTGTTAATATTTTGACCCTCCGGTAAACGGATCGCAGTCATGAAGGACTTAAATGTTCCGAACCTATTGGTACACTTTCCGGAACCATGGAGGCTGGCATGAAATGATCAGATAAGCCAAATGAAAGGGGACGTCTGAAACTAAAAAATGTTGGAGCTGAATTATTTTTATGTAGTCCCAGACTTTGTGGGATGATTTTTGATTCAAGATTTAAAATGAAAAATGCAAGAAAACTTGGAAAGTTTACTTTCAAAATATTTTTAAAAAAATAATAAGAGCTACACTAAAAGATGTAAGTCCAACAAACTTTAGATTCAATCGTCACCTTTTATTTGGCATTTTTGGATATGTCATGCCAATTTCCATGTTGCTGGAAAGTGTACCGTTTTGTGTAAAGATCTTGGTCAAAATGACATTGACTAGTAAAGAAAACTAAAAATTCGAAAAAAGTTGTTATGTGCGCGCAGTCCCCCCTTAAAATAAAAATTTTGCACTTTGCGAAAAGAGAGAATGTAAATCATTTCAGAACTCGTTTTTTCTGTCTCGAAGTTTCCAACTGCTGCTGACCGCAGTTGATCATTCTTTTTTGGATCGATGAGGAAAAAAGATACTTGCACTCCTACTGACACGTCAGTCTTTTCTCTCTCTTTTTTCTTCTACTTTTGTCTACTTTTGCTCTACCTTTTGCGGCTACTGTGTGTTTTGTCTCATTTTCACTTCCATTCACTCGTTCTCTCTCCAACGTCCGTCTAGTTCCGTGTTTGTTCGATGATGTGTGGCCACTGGTCAGTGCTGCTGATGCTGACGAGATAATTAACGTAATGAGTGGGCTAATCGTTGACAAATGGGCGCGAACCTAGTGTTCTTGTTTCTGTTGTTTCTCTCTACTTGCGTTGTTCTTGGCGTTCTCCAAGGGACTTCTACGACCTTGGTGATCGGCCCGCTGAGAGAAAGATGTGGAGCAAGACTGCAGGGCGCACTGTCAACGCTTGTCGTTGGCGGTCGGCGGTTGTTGTTGTTGTTGTTGTCCTCATCATCATAGTCGTCATCGTTGGCTACTTTACTGCTGTTACACTGTTTTGTAATGTTTGGACACGTTGCCTTAACTGAAAGGTGAGAGGTGGTTTTGATGGTGGTGATGGTGGACAGTGACTGAATCTGCAGGGCACTCGAACTGACTCTCTATTTTCGACTAACTCTCCGATGATCTAGCGCGGCGGATCTACGGCTCAGATTTGATTCGAGTATAAAAGGCAAGTGATTGTCCGCAGATTAGCATCAGTGTCAGTGACCACCACAACCACCACCACCAATCCTTCCACAACCTTTGCACTTGTGTGTTTAGTCAACTACTAAATCAGCCATGAAGTTCTTCATCGTTCTCGCCGTCCTCGCTACCGCCGCCTCTGCCCTGCCTCTGCACGGCGGCATCGTCAATACCGGTCACTCGCAGGTGAGCCGACACGACGATGGCCACGGCAACTACGAGTTTGGCTACAATGAGGACCACGCCACCGGCGGCACCTTCCGCAAGGAGAGCGGCACCGGAGGACACGGCGTTCAGGGCTCGTACGGTCTGCGAGACCACGACGGTCGAGTGCGAGTGGTCAACTACGTCGCCGATGCGCTCGGCTTCCGTGCCTCGGTAAGTGCGCATAAGAATGTCTAGGTGCATGAGGTTTCCTAACTCCGATGACCAAACATTGCAGGTGAGCACCAACGAGCCCGGCACTGATGTGAAGCAGGACCCTGCTGCCGTGAACCTCAACTACGGAGGCGGACACGGAGGCATCCCCGCCCCGATTGCCCCACTGGCCATTGCCCACGCTGAGCCCATCCTCGCCCAGCCCCTGATCGCCCACGGCGGTGCTTCGCTCGGCTACGGTGCTGAGGCTGGTCTCGCTCTGGGCGGTCACGGCGGCTATGGCGCCCTGGTCGAGCCGCACGGCGTCGCCTTCCCCTCCTCCTACTCGAGCCACATCCAGCACGCCTCTGTCCTCTCCGCCCCAGTGCTCGCGCATGGTGGTGCCCTCCTCGACGGTGGTCTCCATGGCGGTTATGGTGGCGCCTACTAATCTTCTGATTAGTGCTCACCCCTTATTCACTATTCACTTTCTTTTTCTTCTTCATCCACTTCTTCATCAGTCATGTACACACATTCATACTTTTCTATCTCCTGTTAATTATTCCCAAAAAATCGTTTCTCGTCGTCAATGAATGAAATCTCTCTTTCTTTTTCTTTCTCTAATTTAATAAAAAGCGCACACACGTCTATCCCTCGAAGGGAGCAATGCAGACAAATGCACAGGTATAAGAAACTAGCCACCATCACCACCATCACCACTGTTGTCCTCCTCACGGCGGTGGTTTTAGTTCTTCAGCAGCAGCAACTCCAACTTTTAATGGTATCAAATTACGTTATCTTCGACACGTTTTTTTCTTGTTCACTTGAGCCTATTGCTACTACTTGCTCTGTGCCGTGGTAGTAGTTGCTTGTTGTGTCGACTGGACAGCAGCAGCAGCAACAACAACAGCTCATTTGCATGTCAATCACTTGGTGGGAGAAAGTGAGAAAGAGAGAATGAAAGTGTGTTTAATGTGACCATCTATCTATCTACTCACCTGGAAGTAAGCAATAACTGTCTTCAGTTTGCAACTTACCTGGTCTGCCTCTCTGCCTGTATGTGTTTAGCAGTTCTCTTGTTTGAACTTGACCACCGTCTGTCTTTCAGTCAGTCTGTCTGTGCACACAGCTGCCACGCCTAGTTCAGTTTTTGCAGCAGCAGAAAAAGCGGCAGAGAAGAAGGTTAGCACTATCCTGCAGGCATCCAGCCTGTAGTCCGTGTAGTGCTGATAGATAGACTAATTATTGTGGACATGTTAAAATGTGTGTGTGGCTGTTTTTCNGCAGCAGCAGAAAAAGCGGCAGAGAAGAAGGTTAGCACTATCCTGCAGGCATCCAGCCAGTAGTCCGAGTAGTGCTGATAGATAGACTAATTATTGTTGACATGTTAAAATGTGTGTGTGGCTGTTTTTCATGGTGCTCTAGCTTTTGCTTTCGTTTTCGTTTTTGTCTCTGAACAATCGTGAGCCAATTGTGCGCCTGTGGCNTAGCACTATCCTGCAGGCATCCAGCCAGTAGTCCGAGTAGTGCTGATTGATAGACTAATTATTGTTGACATGTTAAAATGTGTGTGTGGCTGTTTTTCATGGTGCTCTAGCTTTTGCTTTCGTTTTCGTTTTTGTCTCTGAACAATCGTGAGCCAATTGTGCGCCTGTGGCCTGTGTTAGTGGTGTGTGTGTGTGTGTTTGGTGTGATCAGTCGATGGACAGACACACTGGTGCACACTGTGTGCACAGCACCTTTCAGGAGCAACAAGTACGAGGCCGTCGTACACTGACTCTACTGCCATGATTGATTTATCGTTGAAGGGAAAATATGTCGACGATTGGTGGTTCAATGGTGCTGTGGTGGTGGTGGCGGTGGTAGTGGGTGAGCCAAGTCCACTACACAGGCAGGGATACATAAATGTGCTTTGTTGTATGCGATTAAATAATAATAATTGCTACCTGTGCGAACAATGAACAAGAAAAAGATAATGGTAATGGGGATGGTGGTGGTTACGATTACACTGTTTGTTGTACGGTGAAGATGAAGTTTTGGATGAGTTGAAGTACAGCAGAAGGAGAAGATAGAAAAGAGGTACCAAACGGAAAGCACTTCGGTGCAGATCGTGATCCAAGGAGAGATGATGATGATGATGATGTCCTGATGATCACCCTGTACCACCACACCCTACAGCAGTGCCATTAGGTCGACATTGGAATGTGCAGTGTGCTCAATTCACAGGAAAACAATTTGAGATTCGAGTTTTGGATCAGACCGCATTAATTCTGCCCATTTTTCTCCCCCTTTTTTGTTGCTTTTCAACTGTCTTTTACTTGCTAACGGTCCTTGCACTTGCTTCTAATCGATTGCCTCTTTTTATTGATTGTTTCGATCTGAATAGAATGAAGTTGTGTTTGCCTTTCAATTGATTTTGTTTGTGTCATTCACTACTCCATCATTCACTCTTTCCCACAACGGTGCTCTGCAATTAATAACTGCTTTCATTGGTGGTAATCATGGTTTTGCCATTGAACATGACCACCGACACCGCCGCAATGCTGTACAGTGCACCTTCCAAACTTTTCCTGAGCAACTATTTGGTCCTGTGTTGTTCACTAGCTAAACTTTATTGTCTCTCACTTTGAGGATGCTAAAACAGAAGAATAGACTGCTGGTTGTACCACTTTTAGTAGATGAAAGTGGCAACAATTCTGCATTGTTTTCATTTAGCACTCTTGTTGAGGTGTTGCAGTGTACAAAGTGCACTAAGAATGGACGGCGGGGATGGCAGTGAGAGGCCACCAGCGCAGTTTTGTCGCAGTAGTTTCATCAGCCAAACTTTCTCAGCCTTTTCAGTTGCTCTCTAATTTTTTTCTCTTTCCCCTTGCTTGCTCGCTTGCCCGAGGTGTTGCCTAATTACGGATGCTAATAACGCCAACCGTCGCCGCCGTCGTTGTCTCCTTGTGTCTTAGCTGTAGTTGCAGCAGCAGCAACCGCCGCATCACCTCAGTCTGACTGACTGACTTTTTCTTATTAAATTGACTTACCTACTGACACACACTAGCTGTAGCTGTCTGTCTGCACACTTGCCTGGTGGGCACAAAAGGTGATTCGATGATTTAGACATCGATGAACACACACACACACAACCAAGTCGGTGGCTCTTTTGGTAGTGCCATGGCGGTGGTCCGTCTCAATTTGCTCTATCGAGGATACAGCTGTTGTCGATACTTTTCGTTCAATCATTTTGCTCGTACTAATTTTGCCTTCTTCGGCTTTGACTTTTAGTTGCTGTTTCTGGTGTCCTTGAGTTTGTGTGTCTCTGTGGTAGTGTGGTAGTAATGTGTGTGTGTGTGGTTAGATGCACTGGGAAGGTGAAGAAGAAGAGGTTTGCTGGAAAGAGGTTTGTGTGGAGCAAAAGGTAAGGAAAAGGTGGTCTGTGAAGCTACACACTAAATTGTGTGTATTTGTGAAGAGTAGCTGAAGAAGAGGAGCTGCCATCACTGCCATCATCCTCATTGGCACCGTTTGAGGGAAGGTATTTAAAGACGGTGCAGGCAGCTGAACAGACCATCATTCGCCTTTCTCGAGCCGTACAGTCGTACCAGCAGCAACCACCACCACCCAACAATGAAGTTCTTCATCCTCCTCGCCATCGTCGCCTCGGCCGCTGCCGTGCCCGCCATTGTCTCCACTGGCAACTCTGCCGTCTCCCGATCCGATGACGGTCTCGGTACGACCCTTAGCACCATCTAGGTTAACTGTTCTAGATTTATTTCTTATTTTCTTCTAAAAGGTAACTACGCCTTCGGTTACAACGAGGACCACGCCACCGGCGGTACCTTCCGCAAGGAGCAGGGCGGTCCCGGAGTGCAGATTGGCTCGTACGGTCTCCGAGATGCCGATGGTCGTGTGCGAACTGTCAACTACGTTGCCGATGCCCTCGGATACCGAGCCTCGGTAGGATAGTTTAACAATTTTCAAAAAAAAATAGATGTTAACCTGTTAATACCCATCCTCCAACCCACTTAACCACTAACCACAGATCAGCACTAACGAGCCCGGTGTGGACCNAGATAGTTTAACAATTTTCAGAAAACATAGATGTTAACCTGTTAATACCCATCCTCCAACCCACTTAACCACTAACCACAGATCAGNGGATAGTTTAACAATTTTCAAAAAAAAATAGATGTTAACCTGTTAATACCCATCCTCCAACCCACTTAACCACTAACCACAGATCAGCACTAACGAGCCCGGTGTGGACCCCGCCCAGCCCGCTGCCGCCACCACCCTCAACGGAGCCGCTCCCCTGGCCCCAGCTGTTGCCGTCGCCCCCGTGGCCGCCTACGCCGCCCCAGTTGTGAAGTCCTACGCTGCCCCAGTGGCCGCCTACGCCGCCGCCCCGGTCGCCTACGCCCCCCAGATCGCCGTGGCTGCCCCCATTGCCTCCTCGTACGCCTCCTCGGTTCAGCACGCCTCCATCGCCGCCCCGGCCGTCTACGCTGCCCCAGTGGCCGCCTACGCCGCCCCGGTCGCCTACGCCAAGTCGTACGCTGCCCCACTCGTCTCCTCCTACTCGGTCCAGCACGGTCCAGTCGGATATGCCGGCAAGATCTACTAAACAAAGTAGTTCTTCCAAGCATTTAGTTGAGACTTTTGACCCTGACAGCGCACTCCTTTAGTTTCCCTAATTAGTCAGTCTATTATCAAGTCCCCTTTTTTATTGTTACCCGATTGAAGATGAAGATATGATACCCGATCTATCTCTTTCTCCACGACCCCTTCCTCCGCTCGCTCGCTCTCATTGTTTTGTACACATTTCCCTTTTTCTCAAAGTCGTCCCACCCACTCCCACTTTTTACTGCTCAGTTTGTTTAAAACTGAGTTCTCTTTGTCACTGCCAAATTGCCCAGTTCCTCCTGCGGTTCCTCCTCCTTACTGAACTCGTCTCCAAAAACAGCAATCGATCACTAAATTAAGGCGCCTCATGAGATGCCACCCAAAAATTCTAATTTTTGTTGATTTTTTTGGAATTTTAAAACAACCTGTTGGTTGTATTGGTCTACAATGAGCAAGCCTGCACTACAAAAGACGATTACATTTTGTTTGG